TGATGGAGCTTTGAAAATTGAGAATTGAATTTTGTCTGGGTATCACGAATCAACTTGCTGATGAGCAATATTTGGGATCGCTTTTGGTTGGTCGTGATGACAATTGCAGGGGGATATACTTGCGTATACAGCGAATCCGCATTAATGGTCTCTACATCAGGTGTGTGCAATTCACCTTCTTCCTCCTCCTCTTCGGCAAATGAATTCGCACCAACACGTCCAGATTCCTGATGATCTGTCTCCGATTCTCCATTGGTAGTGGCGGCAGAAGACCAACCTGGCTCTCCAGCGTGTGAGATATCTGTTCCCGCGCGCAGTTGACCTTCATTTACAATCCACGTGATCCTGGGTGGTACCATGTCGGCGCGGCCTGGCCATGCGGCAAAGCCCAGGTTGTTTCTCAGCGCAATGTCACGCAGCTCAAGCTTTCTGAAGTTACAAACACACTCCATCTGCCGCTCAGCACCCTGTGAAATATTTGAAAGAGGAAAATTGACAGCGGCCATCTTCTCTCTTAAAAGTGCACGGCATTCTGTCGCATGAACCTCCATCGAGTCCCAACAGTCCCTCTTGATGTTTGAGGAAACTTGATCACGCTGCATGTCCTCGGCGTCAAGCTTGTCACGGATTTCGGCCACCCTGTTCTTATTGGCATCCAATATGCAGTCCCGACCCCTGCAATCAATAACGAACTCACTACGGTCAAGTTTTTCTAAATCAGGAGCCTGGTCGTTTTTTGTGAGAAGCTCATTCAGTCTGTGGCGCAAGTCTGCAATAATGTTGTAGCGGACAGCCTTCTGAGCTTGTGCATCGAGGGAATGCGCCTCTGCTTGTCGAGTCAAATAGAGCTGCCGATGGGTTGGACGTTGCAATGGTACTGGTCGTTCGATCAAGTGACGGGCATGATCAACAAGCGGTGAAAACGAGCTCGCTGGACGGGCTACCTCACAAGATTTCATGCTAGTCGTTTCTGTCAGGGAAAACACGAATACCGCAGAATCGAGACCAGCTGAGCAAACTGCGTTCCCAGAGTGGATGAACCTTACACAGATAATCGCACCATCGTGGACTCTGGGAAATACAGCGACGATGTCTAACTTACGGCCGTCGGCACCGTCACAGAATTGCCAGACAACTAAAGTTCCATCTGCATCACCAGTCGCTAGCTTGGTCCCATCATCACACACATGAAGACAGAGCAGGCCTTTAGTATGCGGTTTTTCTGGATTTTGAAACACAATCTCAAGAACTTTTGATTTCAACTCATATCCCACAACATGGGGAAGACCTGGAACAACAGCATAGAGGTAAACTTCCTGTGAGTTTACATTCACAGGGGTAGTTTGTAGAGGCTTGTTATCCAAAATTATTGTCTGTGATGGCTCCAGTGGATCCAAATTGGAGGTTACATTATCTAGATCAGGAATATCTAGGTAAGCCACAGAGCCGCTACTCATAAAGATGAGCAATCGTTTGTCGTGCCAAGTCAGACTAACTGTGTCACCTGATGGAACTGCATATGTGATGACGTTGAACACGTGCTTTGAATTCGGATTCACATCAATAATGTAAGTACCCTCCTCTAGACCACTGGCGACCGCGACAATCATTTCAGTAGGATGAAATGCGATAATAGTGACAGGGTGCTTGTAGAGTTGTAGACTAGTGAGAGGAACAATTTCAATTGGGTCGGACACATCACCGCCTCCCACGGAGTCCAGGTGCATGAAATACATAGTACCGGGGGCGAGCCCTATGCCAAGTAGGGGATGGTGAGGTGAGGAAGCTATTGCCGTGATAGGAATCATGTTATGGGCAGTGTCTCCGACACTTGTCGCATCTGAGGTGCGAGCGGAGTCTGTTGAAACCTCGCTCCAGAAGTGGTATCTACCACGCTGTATCATTGTTGTATCCCACAGACGTATTGTCCCATCGATGCTGGCAGTGACCGTGTGAGACGTGTGGAAGGGCCCTAGCTTAGTTTCGCAGATGCCAGTTACGGGGTCGGAATGGGACTCCAGTAAACAGGTGGCAAGCTCGGGGGCTGCGCCCTCATATATAGATTCTATCGAAAGAAGGTGTGTGTTGCCACCGCGCGTTACGAACAGGATGTTATTATACGAAGGTGAAGGACAACATGCAAGGATAGCCTTTGAGCTGTCAGGAATTGATACCGTAGTATCTCCATGTGTACTGCCCAATCCAGAGGTGAACTCAACCGTGCCCATTTTGTGTGTGTGTAACCAGCGGCACGAACCATCACTACAAGCAACAACGAGGTGCTCTGTAAGCACAACGAGCGTTGAAATCACAAGGGAGCTTAATTCTTGAACCACAATCCTCCGACGCAGCACACCTTCAATTGCATCGAATTCGGCAATCATCGCCACCAAATTAGCGGCGAAGACTTGATTCTCGGTTCCCCAAGAATGTGCAATGAAGTTATTATCAGTGGAATGAATACCCGTGTTTGAGGCATCACCCTGATTACGCGTGTCTTCGGATTCCTCGGCCTCGTGCTCACTCTCACGTAATCCATCTACAGCGATAGAAGCGGCTTTTATCACGCTTATTTTTGTGTCATTTACCAGAGTTTTGACCTTCCAGAAGGCAATTCCATGTTTCCCACCTGAACAAACCATTTGTGAGTTGCCCGGATTCATTGAGATAAAGTCGTTCGCAAACGGTGCTATGTTTGTGCCAGGTAGCTCGGCCATTGCCATAATATTAGCGCCACGGACATTGTATACGTAAAGTCTGTTCTCAGTTATCCCTGAAACGGCGCAGATGCAGTCGGCTCTGCGTGACAGTGCAAGCTTTTCATACTCTAAGCGTGCCCCCCCCACAAGACTACAGAGTATTTCATTTTCTGGAAGTTTCAGAACATGTATAGGAGGAGGAGACGTTCGCGGGGCGAACGCGACGATTCCCTTGAAAGCATTTACAGTAAAGGCGGAGACTCCATGTTCACACGAGTTTGCTATCGTATCAATGCTTCCTGGGTTCTCTAAATCAAAAACCACCAATCCGCTGCCACACTCGAAGACTACGTGACTATCGTCGACGTAAGCAACGTTCCCACGAGGGGAGGCCAGCAACTTGCGAGACTTCATGCGCGTTACGCCCGAAGATACTTGTGCCGTAGTGATGAATAGAAATTAGCGTAGTGATTATAATTGCCCAAGCAACCCGTCATCAACCTGTAGGCGAGCTGGATGCATTCAAACGAGAAAATTTCTTTTCAAGCAATAGCGGAACTGAGAAGAAACAAGGCAAAGCCAAGACGATCGTTGCCAGAACCCCATCGAAAGCGAGCTCGAGCGAAGTGGAACTCCACACGAGAGTCGCGGAGCTAGAACGACGCCTCGAGAACCAGCGCACCAACATCAACCACCGTATCGCACTGCACAACAAAGGCATCAGAGGACACGTCAGACTTCTCAAAGAAGAGACGGAGCGTGCTCCCACACATTTCGAATCAATCAAACCCATGATCGCAGACGATAACATGAAACAAGTGATAACTAATATGCTGAAGCCAGATACCCTGACTCGTAGGAAGGCACAGAAAGGCCCCAAACTCATGAAGTACATCGACGCCGACGGCAACCCGGTCACAGAGCGACCGGCCGGTAGCACTGGGACCGGGGGCGCCTGGCTTGACGTCACTACCTCGGACTCGGACGACGACTCGGACTCCGAGCCCTAAACTGGAATCCCGCTGGATCCGCCGGCCCCGCCGGCCGCCCGTCGCGCGCCCACTGTGCCCCCCTCGCGCCCCCTGTTGTGTCGACCACCCCCCCGCACCCCGAGGCCTCTCAGATAGGCGGCCGCCGGGCGCGGTAATGCCCCAACGCATCCCGCAGAGCCTCCGGCCTGAGGGTCGGCTCAATCACATTTGAACCGCCCTGGGCTGCTAAACATTCCGTTAAAAACGCTGCTGTCGCTTGATCCACAGTTGCTTCACGAATTTTCATAACCCCTGACCGCAGGCGCTTAGTCGCAGGTGTCACCCGAACCCCACCCCCTCCCGTCGGCCGAGGCGAGCCCGCCTGGCCACCCGGAGGCGCGCCGCCCGCGGGCGTCGCGCCCGCCAGCAGGCCCTGCATGGCCGCGGAAGAACGAGCGCGCGATGGAGCACCACAAACGGCCGCGTTTGAACGCAGTACGTTGAAGTGCAAGTTGAAGTAGCCGAAGCGCCGAAGCGGCGTGGATCATCGTCACCCAAAAACCAGAAACACATAGTGCCGAGCACAACG